GGCCTGTAAGCCCTAAGTTTTAGGCTTTTAGGCTGAATGTCCGGGACGGGCCCTGCAGGGCCCGTGTGGCTACGCAGTATGCCACCCCCCCCCCCTCCTTGAAGAACCGAGCTTACCTGCGAGGGCGAAGCTGTCTGTCTGAGGGAGGGACCACGGTCCGGGTGGGAGGGGCTGGTCGTGAAGCTTCCTGAGCTAACCTCCGCTTTTCATAAAGCCCGTAGATCAGCGGTGCGGATGCTTTCAAATCTGCGCCTGAAATCCACCAAGTGTCGTCGCGATCGCATGCTTTGAATGTGACTTTGTACTGCAGCGGCTTGCTGCCGTACTTGCGATCGGAGATGACGCGGTCAACTTCCTGATGACCATCCATAGAAGGAGGGTCCTGCGATCGTCGGCCCGGAAAGTCGTCGCTCTTGGCTGGCGTGTATGTTGCCAGCTTCGAGGCGTGGAAGACCGGATGGACCGTCAGATGCTCTGGAATGTTGATCACAAATGAAGGGCCATCGGGCTCATCGTCCGCGGCTGCTGTCACAGACCAAGGTCCAAACCACTTGGGAAGCAGTTTGCGTGAAACATCTTGTTCCAGTGCAAACTCTTCCGCGGAGACCCAAACCAGATCACCGGCGCGGATGGGACATGGTACGCGACGCCTGTTGGCTTGCTGCTTCATGCGGACTTGAGCCTTTTGCATATTTGCGCGGGCTTGAGTCAGCACTTCCCTCTACTTCCGGACGGAAGCGGGAGAGCAGGCAGCGTCAATGTCGGCTGGTCGAGGGAGGAGAAGGTCGGCGAAGATCCGACCTTTCCGTCCACCGTGGTGCAACTCGAATCGAGTCACGTCGATCGTCGGATGCACCGAAGTGTTGTAGGCGAACTCGATGTCGGGGAGGCAGTCAACCCAATCTTTCCGGTCCGGACGGATGAGCGTACGAAGCATCATTTGAGCGGTTTGATGTGCCCGCTCCGTCTGCCAGTTTGTCAGAGGATGCCGAGCCGAACTTGGTTTCATTGTTGTACCGGACTCCTGCATGAGAGCAGTCCAAAACGCCGACATGAAACGAGTGTCGCGGTCGCTGACGATGTCTTCTGGTACACCGTGGCCACAAATCCAACCAGTGTGCAGGAGGCGTGCTAGCTCGGGAGCCGTGGAGTAGTACTTGCAAGGGAGAAAACACGCGTACTTACTCAATCGGTCCACAACCGTGTGAATGCCGTCGTGCCCGAGCCGGTCGCGAGGAAACGGACCGGTGACGTCCATGGCAATGGAGAGACCGGGTTCCCGTGGGATAGGCATCGGGTGTAACTCGCCGTAGGGATTGCGGTTGCGGGGCTTGCTGCGTCGGCGAACTTCGCAAGAGTCGCAATACCGAGTGACATCGGTAATGAGGTC